CACGACTCAAATGAACTCAGCGACGTGCAAAAATTTCATTATTTGAAGTCTGTACTGAAAGGGGAGGCAGCTAAACTGATCGAGTCTCTCAAGATCACAAACGGAAACTACATTATAGCATGGGACACCATCACCAAGCGGAATGAATATTTGCTGAAGAAGCGCCATCTTCAGGCATTGATGGAATTCCCGAGGATCGAGAAGGAGTCGGCTGGGCGAATACATGGACTGGTGGACGAGTTCGATCAACGGCTGAAGATGAAGCAGCTGGGCGAAAAGACGGAGCACTGGGGAGCGATGATCATCCATTGGATGTGTTCAAAGCTGGATGCGCATACTCTGCAGCTATGGGAGGATCACGCTGCATCGTTACGGGAACCTACATTCGCGGTATTGGTGGACTTTCTGGAGAAAAGAACGAGGGTTTTGGAAGCTGTGTTATCCAACACCATCAATCATGGCTCTGCTCATCCCAAGGCGGTGGCTAAACGAGAGCGCGTGACTGTACACACGTCTACGGAGGGCGGAAAAAGTGATCCAACCTGCCAATTGCATTATTTGGTACGGTGCGGAACATTCCAGGGTTTTGGACTAAAAGAGAAGTTGGGCTTCGTCAACGGAAAACGGCTATGCAGCAACTGCTTCAAAACGGGTCACTGGGTACGTGACTGCTCGTCAAAGTTTACCTGTAAGACATGTGGGAAGAAGCACAGCACTTTGATACATCCGGGGTTTCAACCTGGTAATGGAGGAGGCAGCAATGGCAAAAGCGACGCAGCTAGGACGCAACTTATAATATTCTAACATAAGCCTAGAGCTTCCATTTTGAAACCTAGAAGTAGTCACATAGTCACTGTGAACGGAGTTCCAATTCAAGTGAAATATCATGGACTAGTACTTGACCAAACATTATCTTTCAGAAACCACATTGATGGTATCCAAGTCATATTAAAAAAAATATATTAAATGTTTGCATCGTCTTATAAACAGAAAATATAAATTTAGCAACGCCGGTGGTGTAGTGGTAAGAGTGATTACCTCTCACCCCAGCAGGCCTTCGGAAGGGAAGTAAAGCCGTTGGTTCCCGGTCTATGAGTTGTTAGGTCAATAGATAGGGTCCAGGTGTGGGAGCTGCCTCCCTGGCGTCGGTAGGATTGGTGCTCAGCATGGAAAACAAGATCAACGGAAAACAAATCAAGAAAAAAAAGAAAATCTAAATTTTGCCTGCAGAACAAACTTTAAATATTTAAACAAATTTTTAAATCTGCTATGTGTAAGATAATATGCCAATATGGTCTAGTTGTTGCATTACCAGGAAAAAACACTTCAAAAGATTCAAAGTTCTGAAGATGATTTGAAGTTGCCTCCTTGGTTCAGTACTACATAGATGTACATAGAATTTCTTCAATTGCAACGATAAATTCCCTGTATTTTTAGATAGGATTAAGTTTAAAATTTGTTATCCTGTCACGCAGATATAGAAAACCTGCTATGGCAAGAATAATTTACACACCTAGATATAATTCATTACAATTATGGTTGATTAGTAGCTGTTTTTTTCCTTTGGTTTGTTTTTTTCCGTCGATCTTGTTTTCCGTGCTGAGCACCAATGCTACCGACGTGCCAGGAAGGCAGCTTCCACACCTGGACCCTACCTATCGACCCATCAACTCATGAACCGGGGACCAACGGCTTTACTTCCCATCCGAAGGAAGGCGTTATCAGAGATGTTATGCCTCAGAACATCCCGGCGGCGCCGACTGGGATTGAGGCCAGGCCTGCTGGGGTGAGAGGCAATCACGCTTACCACTACACCACCGGCACTGTTAATTAGTAGCTGTTGTAGACAGTAAAAATTTAATTTTAATAGCACATCAAAGTGCATGCGTGTCGAAAATATGGTGTAATATTGCTTGTCAAAAAGGACAAAATTATCATCAATACAGTACATGAACTGACATTACGCTGCTTTTACTGCATTTTTTTTATTTTTGTGGCCATAAAAATTACATGAGATTTTCGACATTATTGAAGTGCATCCTCTCGGATGAAATATTACAATTTATTTTTGATTTTCGTCAAACGTCACTGACCAAACTGACCGTTACCAACTCTGCCTGTGTACATATAATAAAATGCGTCATTTTCAAGCACATCTAAACAAATCCAGACCTTTTATTCTATAACAGCCAGATTAAAAAAAAAAACATTTGTCTACAGTAAGTCACGAAAGAGCTTCTCATGTGTCCAAGAGGGAAAAATCTATTACGACAAATTGTAAACTGAAGATGCCGATGGTTCAGTGACATGCGTGACATCTTTCTCATCCCAGTGTGTCTGGTTTCAATCCCAGCTGAAGTGTGCCAGTACGTGTGTTGATAAGTTCCACAGTTTTCAGGTGTGGAATTTGCCTCCCTGGCACTCGATTGCCAATTGTTATTTCTCCAATATATATATTTTTTTTTTAAATCGGCAAAAAAAAGTTTGGTCCTCTCAAATGATAGTCTAGATAAATTTAGGTAAAACTAACTATGCAAGGTGGCTTACTTAGTCAAGGTCCACACATCCAGAAATACAATTTGGCGTGAAATGCGTCATAAGTGAGTAGGGTTAGTTGTCAAATGACCCAGTTCCAGTAATCTCACATAATAATTATTACTACGTTGTTTTTCGATTAACTCGAAATGATGTTCGGGGTATCTTGACAACCTATATACTTCAACGAAAGCATATGATGAAAGAGGTTGCTAATTTTACTACCTATCCATCTTTAAAAAAATCAGATTGTAAATTTTCTCGACTTCCCGGAGTGCAAGGCTATAGCCTAAGAATACTCTCCACTATCAACTATGCTGAAGTGTTAGTCAATATGTTAAGAACAGTCACGTGCTAAGAGAAGTCAAGTTCACTGAAAAATTGTGCATTAGTCTGTGTAAAAAAAAATCCTCTTCGTCTAATCATAACAAGGCAAACACCCGCATTTCGATGACTCAATGAGCACAACTTGCACTAAACACAACCCAGTCTAAACATATTTTCTGCAAACCTAAACCAAGGCTCACACAATGTCCGCTGCAAGCAACTGTTTATTAGTTTTAAAAGCTCTCTCGTTCACACGTTTTCGCAAACTTTGCGGGTTTTTTTTTGTTTGCTTTGCTAAATCTATTAATATTTAGCCAATACAGCACAAGCAAGCGCGGATTCAACCAGCGGCGGTGTGATGATTACATTGTAGCATCTTGAATTTCCAATGAATTTTCTCTCTTTCAGCTTCATTCCGCGTGGTGAATTTTAAACTACACAATGCACAGGAAGGAAGTTGGAAGCAGGTTTATTTTTTTCGCTTGCGTTTGATTTTTTTCCCCTGGCTGCTCTTGCTAGATGGTTTGCTGAATGTGACTGACTCTTGATTTGTCTCCTCGTTCTCACCGTGGCCCCTCTCAGCTTGGGAAGATTGGGGATTTGAATGGCACATAACAGCGTCTAGTGGCATCACGATGTGGGAAAAGGAAAACAAACCATTCTGTGCTTGATTTTATCTGCACCTACATATTTTTGGGGGAAAACCGTGCCAAACAGACGCCACCACTCGGGAAATCGTACTCACAGAAGGATGTGGAAGAAGACTTCTCCCGAATTTTCGTCACCGGTGAGTGCCATCATCCAAAGTTCTAGAACGATATAGTGTTCTCTTTCCTATGGCTTTGAGTGCCATTTCGCTTTCCGGATCCTCGTTTTCAGTTTGCTGGCATACATATAGGATCGTCTGGTCAAAAAACCTGTTTCGCTCGGGCAGAATCCGCGCGACTCTGCCACACTTTGGTCCTTGGTTGAGTGTATGAGTGCACTTCTTTTTATAGCGGAGATATAATCGTTTCATTCACACTTATTGCAGCTCGTAATGATTTCGCTTTATGTACTCTGATGGAACGCGCGTGGAAGGTGAAATGAGCGGGAGATGCACTTTTTTAAATACTTCCACTTGTGTCTATGTACCGCGTGCTATGCGCAAAATTGGAAGTTTTTCCGACTTTTCATTGAATATGAAGAAATCAGGAAATCTTACCCACTCCTAATAATTACTCTATCGGATGGTAGGAAATAGCCCTTCTGCGTTAGATACAAGAGAGACAAAGGAAATTCTTGACAAAGAAAACATATTTGTGGAAAAGATGTGGAGTCTTTCCATTTAATTGCATACAATTGCAAACTACATGTTCAGATCAGTTTTAAGTGATGTTTACGATTTGTGCTGCGTTTTATGAGCTCAAAACTGCAAATACTGTGTGGCGAGTAGATTGAAAATGAACCTGCTATTTACTATTATTATAATTATACTAATATAAATGATGAAACGCCTTTCCGTCAGTCGATAGGTGATAATGGTCCTCCCCACAGTGCAACAGTGAAAGATTTGTATGGTTTTACAAGTTGATCGTAAATCGCTAATAAATCATAAAGAGATTATAAATGATACTCGGCCCCATGAGTAAACGTCATTTTTTTTCCGTTGGTGCTGGCCAGGAGGGCACAACTGCTGACGAGAAACTATTAATAGGCTCGTAAAACAATTTAAAAACTGTAAAAAAGTTTATTTCAGTCGTAAAAAAGGCGCAAAAGGAGCATGGTTGCCCAAACGGAGAATGGGAGAAAGAGAAGGCTGGCGCATAAGACATGATTGGTAAAAAGAAACGAAATTGGGTGAAAAGACTCATTCATAGATAGCAATACAATTTAAACACAATAAAATATTACAGTAGTGAGCAAACGAGGGAGCGATTATCGTAAAATAACAATCATGACGAATCCATTGGTAAGAGCAATTAAAAGGTTACCCACGGCGAGCCAATCGGCAAAGAGTGCTCTACCATTTACTGACCGTGAAATTTTATAAATGATTTGCGCAATGATTGCAGATTAATTTTTTGATTGTTAGTACTGAGGTGGTATTAAAGTTGAATAATCAACAGGTAGCCTTACCTTCGTGGAGCTTCGCTGAGACTGGCATCCTCGGGCATCTTTAATCCATTCGAAGTCTGATAATTCCTGACACTCTGTGAATCCAAGGTCGTCCACTGAAAGCGCTTCCATAGTCATCTCCCTGTGACTGATCGACACTCGTAAAGTTGACGGTACCAATCGTAAAACACCAAGTGACATAATTCCATCTAATTTCAATTCCATGCTTTGCTATAAAAATATTTTTTACTGTTTCGCCACAATAAAACTTGTTGTTTCACGCTTCCTTTTGGCTCCTTTGCTGCGGAGATGGTTTGCTGTTGTTCTTCTTCTTCATCATCATCACTACTGCGCTTCACTTCGAGATTAACTTTCAATGCACATTTCATTTTATGATTTTTTTTTTCTTTTGCTCTTCGGGTGGCTCAAAATTGAAAAACCAATTATACACTTGAAATCACACACTCTTTCGTTTCTGACCGAACAGACCCGTAGGCTGATGCATACCAGCAAGTGGCTATAAATCTCGATAATAACCATAAACCTCTCCATAAAACTACCACCAAATTGAATTAATAGTGTCACTCTTTAGATTTTCGCGCTTTTTCACACAATTTCCGGTTTCGATCAATATTTTCAGCTTTTTTTTTCCTATCGTTAATGATGATTTCATCCGATGGCAAACGAGGCAAAGATTAGGGAATAAAAGCGCCAAGCCATGGTTTTGGTTAAAAGTAAATAAATTTAATGAGCTCCGTTGAAAATTAAGCACAGTTATGCAAACAAACGGTCAAAGGTTAAGGTAAATAAAAATCAACGATGGAAAATAAACAGAAACGAAATCGAACGGATGAACTTTTCTCCCTCGCAGTGATGGGTACCTGTAATAAAAACGAGAAAACACAAGAGAAAATCAGGAAATGGTTGTTGAGTAAACAGGGCGATAAATATTGACGTAAATGCACGAATGATTCAATTTTGTCCCTATCTGGCTCCTCTCAAAACCGTTAAATTATGACGCCCACTTGAACGAAGTTGGTGCATTTTCGAGCAAGGGTCATTTATCCCCGAAAGTAAGTGGGAGAAAGATCCTGTGGTGGCTATTAACATCGCTTTTAGATTAACTTCGTTAAATTGCAATTGTTTATAGGTTGTTAAAATTATTATTTTATTGGTCTCGCTCGATCAGATTGCATCTATGGGTTGATTTTTTCGGCATCGTTTATTAATGGCTCGCTGCATCCTCTATATAGTATGCAAGCATCAATGAGGGGAATGAGAATGTCCTTTACCGACATCTGGTGGTGCTCTGTTGGTACTACCGGTCGATAATGAAGCTTTCTGCTTTTCAATACAGTACTCTTGAATTATCAGTTTGTGAGCAGAAAGAGGGTTGCTTCCTTGGTGGTACAGAAACGGACATGCGTACAGTTTCCAATTGGAAAGTCCCAACTCTGGGTCGAGAGCCAGTGATGAACCGCAGTAGGAGCACACATAGGAAACAGGAAAACTGAAAGCAAAGACCCTTTGAGATACAGCCCAGTTACAGTGCTTCGTTTGGGTTTCTCTCCCTATGGCCAGGAGTGTAGAGTGTGATTTCAGATGCCTTGTTGTGGGCATTTTGTAGATGTTGATTCTTGACTATCAATACAACCCTGGAAAGGAATGAAGTGCACCAATTGTCAAATATAATTCAAATCCTTCAAAACGATGTTACTTCAGATTATTTGAAAACATATTGCATTATTTTAATAAATGAAACAGAGAAATTTTCAAAAGGAAATTTCCATTTCCTTCTGCATTGTGCATGACATTTCATTTCTTTGCCACCGATTTTCTCACATGACTCTTTATAACCCTTTATACAAGCTGCAGGGATAATTTTATAACGACGTATATATATCTTTATGGTCGTCATAAAGTTCCCGGGCCCTGAAAACTATAGTAAATTGAAAGTAGATAAACGCAATAGCTGTACATTTATTGAAGCATCCGACCTAACCGTTGATGTTTTGGTTAGGGTTCATCCCTCGGGGGTGATTGATTTCCATTAACTAGTCTTGGTGGTAAACCTATCCTGATAGAGGGCACCAGCAAAAGCTGTAAATCATTTTAGGCTTCTCAGCACTGATCATATCAACAAAATATGACCAATGATGTTACGGTAAGGGATACCATGCGTCTCCGTCGATTAATATTCGAGACAGACACGAGCCGGAATGGATTGCATATGCAAAAAAGATTGATTCATATTCGCTGATAATTGTTATTGCTTACATCGATTCGTACATGCATTTCCAGCAGAGACGATTGACGACGGGAGGATGCAGCAAGGTCAAAATAAGGAAACTGACAATTGGCAGCCGGCCAGTTGCAACATTGTTGGGGACTCGTTTGCCACTTTGTGAATGAGTAATTCCCTAGCAGACTTGGAGTAGCAAAACTGCCTCGTGGAATTCCTAACGCTATTCCGGTGCACATTTTAAACTCTTAATACGATTCCAATGCTTTCCCGTTCAACTGCTAGTTTCCACTACTAGAGGAAGCACCAAATGGTACGGCAATTTTCCCCATACGATCGGTCGTCCCATGTCGCACACAGGCCGTTGCGTTGGGTGGACCATTACCATAAACTGCATTAGCTAATAACAATACTTTTAATCGATAATGTCGTCTATCAAAACGACTATCCCCCGGACGCTCAGATAACCATCAGTTGAACGGATAGATACAATCACACATGCTCTGCCATAAGCGTACGAGTAACCGGAGACAGTAGCCAGAGTCACCAATCCCACAAGCAACGAGCCCACGATGTCCGCATTGGCATGTATTAACTCGGGGTGCAGACTACAAGGCGTGAAGGCAAAACGTGACAACATGACGTATAAATTATACAATTATTAAAATGAACGCCAATTATATGCAATTTCTTCGATTGAATCATAAATCAATTAGCTTATGCATATGCGAAAGTCTCCCTCTGCATACTGGTGCAACTGCATACCGCTTGTTCTACACTGTGTCGCCAATCCAACATCTGTTGTGGCTCTCACTGTTTTTCAAGCAATTCAGCAAAGTTTGAAGTTACGATCCAAACAAACCGTAAAAAACTCGTAGATACAGAAAAACGTTACATCCTTCCTTTGCCGAATTACCAAAACAAAATATCACACACAACGGAATGTTGTCAAATTTGTGCTTCGTTTTGCCGGTTTTACAGCGAGGCAATAAAATTGCAACCCTACAGTCAAGTCAAGGAGAAGGGTTCTTCCAGAAGCAAACAATTTGCGATGCTTGGCTATGCGATGACGGCATGTAAAAGCAATAAATTTGTGACCCTGTCTGTGAGTTTAGACACATGGTTTTTCACACAGAATGTCAATCGTTGCCGCAGCCGAATCTAAACTTAGCCTTGAAGCGTTCAAATTACGATTTTGGCCACTCTTTCCGAATTATTGAAAGCTCCTCGTTAGAGGCTTCCCGATTTCCACTCTAATCGATCCATTTCGATGCCGGAGTGGTTCTAGGATGGCGCATAAATATTTATATTCGTTCATTTAATTCATTCCCATAGGAGTCACGCGTTGATTCGTTTCGGGAACTGCGGTATGGAAAGCGACCACCAGGATAGAGCTTGAAAACGATGAGACGATTTTTTTTCTTTCATTCCATTGCTCCCCGATAAAGAAGCAATTTTGCTATCGTTTGAAACGACTGTAAAGATAACGTGATTCAGTTGGGTGGAAGAATGGTCACCACACACACACACACACACACACACAGATGAAAAGCAAGTGGGATGTGTCTCAGTTTGACTGCACGGTGGGACTTTGAAGTCGAGATTTTGATTAAAGCTCAAAATATCACTATGATTAGTCAGTTGTACAGTGCAACATAGAATCACTTTAATAACTTAAGGATCTACTAGCGAAACCTAGCAAAGCACCAATATTGTTTTGTATTTTTTCTCAATGGATCAATATTATAACACCGTGGAATGGTAGATTTAGATGTCATGGAGAATGTAAATTAAATGTTTATTTATAAATCCTTAATACATTAAAACTGATGTTTCCAGGGTGATCCGGAGCCGATCTTATAATCGATCCATTTTTGAATTATCAAATCGAAGAGCTTTTTACTCTCCTGGTATGATGAAAATATCGTAGTCAATAAATATGAACGTTTTTCTCGAATCATGAAAGGATTTTGTGAAAATAAAAACCAATTTTTATTTTCAAATCCATCAAAATTGTTTCTTTATACTTTTTTTTTTTATCAAAAAGTAATTCTGTGTTTTTCTTCCTTTTCCAGAATTGACGAATGTTAACAAACAATCGAAGGGTCACTTTTGGTTGGTTTTATTAAAGAGGCTTTAACCATCTTGTGGTCATTCGGCTCTGCTCAGCGTATGGTGATGAATTGATTATTTCAGCGCTAACAACGTTGAAAAAAAATCACTTACACACTTAGACAAATTGATGTAAAATTAGGTGATCTGAGACTGACATATACGAGGGACAATTTTGAAACAATATTGAGTCATAAAAGACGCGAAATTCAAACGTACTTTCGAACTTTTCAGTCTCTGAGCACTTAATTACGTCTCATCTTTTATGCCAAAGATGGATTCCGTCACGTGTAAAATTAGATAATTCTTAGTGTGTAGCATCATCCAGGATGTTTCTATATCAATTTAAATATCAAAATTCCTGTAAGTACAGCAGTATTCACGTATATGGCACGAATTGATGTTCGCCACAAACTACACTCAATTATGATTTGACACGATTTTGATTATCCGTATTTGCGATCATGTGATATCACATGGCAGCCAAATGTTATGCATCTTATTTAAAAATATCAGAAAAAGAAATCATGGTATATCATGGTGTACATTTTCGTATCCGTCCTTAATGATGACATAATCAAAAAAAATGTATCGAGTGAAAACAGAAATTGATGTTCATTCATTTAATTTAATGGATACTAAGTCAAAGTTCTATGATATGACACCCAATGACCCATTTTCCTGAATATTCCAGTTCTTTAACATGTAAGCTATTGATCAATCTAACTGAAATTATCAAACATCATCAGGGTTTCATGCAATTGACCCCTGCTTTAAAACGACGTTAACATTTAAAAGTTATTGGACAATCCAGCTAATTTTGTTACAAACAAAGAACAATGAACTATCGGCTCCCGAAAGCTGACGCGATTGAGCCTTCCAAATAAACGAACTAGTTAAAAAACAATCCAGCTGATATGCTCAAAAGTCATTACTCGCTCTTGAAGTTGACACCTTCTTTATAATAGCACGCTTGTTAAAAAAAACGGCTCTAGAAACTGCTATACGACTTATTTTAGTCATAATAAGTTGCTGCAACTGTTCGTGATGGAAATGTGCTTCTTGAGAAAAGATTGAACTTTTAATTTGTTATGATATTAAGGTTCATAAAGTTTTTGAAAATTTGAGGAAAGGTCCAGTACGTTTGGATTCAGGGCCATTGTTACCACTCGTGGGAGCCTAAGTCTAAGAAACACATTTTGAATTTTGTGGGCCAAAAATAAAATTACGTTGGCCACTGAAATTAATTTCGGAAATAGGGGAATTTACGTATTCTCGTCAATCTAAGCAGCGTCTGCACTTCTACTAGCATTTTCTCAGCGTCACGCACATATATGATGTGTCTGCTTGTTTACATTCATCTGCTGCTTGCTTCTCTACCCATTCCAATCGACAGAATTTTTCAAAACGTTTTGAAAGCGTTTTTACAACGCTCCAAACTTCTCAGGTGAGTGTGACTATTGTCGGCAGTTTCTTTTTCTTCGGCAACCTTCCCATTAGAACTGCGTGTTAACCAGCTGTTCTATT